GCGCCCCAAAAGGTTTGAGTTGGTAGTTGTTCTGGAGTGTTTCTCGCCGCCCCCCCGCCCCGGAGATAATCTCTATATATTTAATATTTGATAATTAAATGTACTGAATTTTAGTATAACTTTTTTTTTCTTTTAGAACTTTGTCTTCTTACTAGTGGCTGGTGTCTGACAAAAGAAGTTGACAGTAAGAGCGGAAAGACAGAATAAATGAAAAAAGTCTCTGCTCTTAAAGTATACATTATGATGACATATTAGTTGAAATTATTTTCATTATGATAAAATTAAATATGACTCACAGTTTCAAGAACTACTACACTTATATTTAAATATAAACAAATCAATACATCCTAATGCTATACACAAGTTATTTCTGATTTATCCCTGGCAGGGTTTCCTCCATAAATTTCAATGCAAGTTCCAAGGTATGAAAGAATAGGCCAAGGACCTTTAGTGGACAACTCTGTCCAACTGTCTGTGTAGCTGACACGAATGGACATTTTTATGCAGAATGAAATGTATAAAAAGATCAAACAAATGAAACATCAATCAAAGAGTAAATGACCTTTGAGGCATAAACGGTCATTTGGTAAGACTGCCACCATTGTTGAAGGCTGACTCCCAACATGAACGGGAAGGATGCTGCAAACATCACTATGTGGAAACTAGGAAAGATCACAGGACATTTGACCTGTTCTCAGGCGGAGCATACTGGAAACTGATAAGCAGTCTAAGGTTAAGAACCTGTCATATAATACAGGGACGCTGAGATACTCCAGAAAAACTCATGTGATGAACTCATAAAATTTAGAGAAGAGAAGCAAGAGACAATAGTGTCTCTACAATCGAGAAGAGGAAGACTAACTACTGGCCTCAAGTACACGACTGTTCACAACTGCTACGCGTAAACCATTCCAGATCATTTCTCTGGTTGTTAATTCACTCCTCCACCCAAACCCTCAAGAAGCAGATGACCAGATGGGCATAAATAGGGCTGAGGCAGTAAAGTATTGGTGGGTAAGAGTGTATACATGGCAGCAACAGCACTCACGTCTGAATCACCACCATGCCACTTGCTAGTGAGCGACCGCTGCTGAGTTGGCCGCTGTGCCGCAGTAGTTGTACCTAATCACCTCACAGGGTGTTACCAAGATGAAAGGAGTCTGAAAAAGTGCTCAGAACAGTGTCCTGAACTGCGTTAAGTGCTCCCAATGGCACAGATGACAATGATACACTGTCAAAACTAAACATTTTTTAAAACTCGCCTCAAACCTGTGTATGAACCACTTTCCCAGTTTTGAAAAACATGTACTCCTATAATCCTCCAAACAACTGAAGAAAAAATATTTTTATTCCCGTTTTATAAATAGGTCCTACAGAAAAACTAAAAAACTAAGCAGACTAAGTAACCCAACTAGATAGCAGTCCAGCATTAAAATACACAACAGGCTCATTCCAATTCCCTGTGCTATAAAACTGTTTCCTATAAGGTATTTTGTTTGATTTATGTAGCAGTTACTAGAATTTAAACTGGGAAAGAAGTACATTATCAAGTCAAACATTAAATATTATGTAAATACTAAAAATATTGTGAATAAAAATTGTGTAAATATTTTAAAAATATGTAAATATTAAAAATAAGTCACTTAACATATACTATAAATATATAATTTACATATTAAATCACTTCTTATATACTTATGTATATAAAATCACTTAAAATATTAGAAATGAAGTAAAAATTTGGTGAAGGAAAAAGTATATTAATAATAGCATTAAGAACAGCAGCTGTCCATTAATTTTCCCACATACTAGTCAGTTATCTAAACATTTAATATGCATGATCTCATTTAATCCTATGAAATAATTACTACTGCTACCTCATTCTACAGATGAGGAAACTGATTTTGGAGGTATTAAATAACTTGACAGAAGTTATCTGGCTGAGAAGAGAAGAGTGGACATTCAATCCCAGGTCTACATGAGGCCAAAGCCTAGCTCTTTGGCTAAGGCAACACACTACTCAGGCCATATGAAGGCCAAACACATTTTACTGAGCCACACAGTGAAACCTGTGATCATTGAGCCCAAATTTTTAAAAAATACATTTCTTTAGTTCTCTAGTCCAACATACGTCAAACACAGCAAAGCTCATGCACTGTCTGCACTACTACTAGTAAAGGGGCATCCTCTGCAGTCTTAAAATCAGAAAGTAGAAACTCTTTTTATATTCTCTGCAACACAGTGAGTTTCAAAGTACCATTCCAAATCACTGTAAACCTATGAAATCATGTTAGTGACTTGAAAAATGGAATACTAGTATAATTTATACTACGTTATATACTATACTAGTATAAATTAAGCATATTCAGGAACATGTCTGAATAGAGCAAAATGGGTTCAAATATGCTAGTTCAAAATGTACAAGGTAATTAAAGACACTAATTACAACAGTTCTTCAAAAGGCTAACAAAATTATCACTTAGAGTGAATAAGCATTATATTATATATTATCCACATTATATATTTTATATATATATTATATATATATTATTATACTATAATAATATATTATATTATCCAACATTATATATTATCCACAAAACTGAATTTAGAATTTATAAATACATCCTATCAAAATGTCCTAACATTTTAAACAGTACAATTTATATATTGAAAGGGTTTTTGCATTAAAGATTTTTATTAAAAAAAATCAAATTAGTACAAAAGATTTCCAAAATTCAACTTACACCTCAACTAATACTAGATTACCAAAACAAGTGGCGTATGACATCAAGAAAATCTAGATAGTTTCTTAAAATCTATGATAAAGCGTCCAGAGTTACATTCTACATGGCCTACATTAGCTTTTCCCAAACTGTTTTCTCAAGAATTTTGACAAGTATTAAACAATTTTCATAACACAATTTTTAAAAAATATTTTGGCTTTTGTTATATTTTTCAAATACATTTTTATTATTATAAGATTTTATTTATTTGACAGAGAGAAAAAACACAAGTAGGGAGAGAGGCAGGAAGAGAGAGAAGGGGAAACGGGCTCCCTGCTAAGCAGGGCTCGATCCCAGGACCCTGAGATTATGACCTGAGCTGAAGGCAGAGGCTTAACCCACTGAGGCACCAGGTGCCTGCAAATATGTTTTTTAAAAAACCACACTGAATATAGTGTATGCAAATCAAAAATTCTGGAAAATTCAAGAGTTGAAAGAAGATGAAAAAAATCACTACAGTTCTACCATTCAGGAGCAATTATTATAAATATATACTACTCTATTTTTTTAAGAGAATATTTGTTTTCTTTTGCAAAGTTGTGGTCATATTACATATATAATTTAGTGTGCCTCATTTCTTCACTTGGCATTTAATATGGTCAAGTTCTCAAGTGTGTAAATTTTTCTAAATATATTTAATGACTGCATAGTATGTGGGAATATACCATAGTTAACTTCCATACCAAAATTCTGTATTATCACACTTCTATGTATATCTACTATTGGAAGCATGTAAGAACATATTTTGATAGTCCTCTGCTAGCACAGTACTTAAAAAAAAAAAAAAAAAGAATATTTTTACATATTGGGGCACCTGGGTGGCTCAGGTCATGATCCCAAGATTCTGGGACTGAGCTCCATGTTGGGCTCCATGTTCAGTGGAGAGTCTGCTTGAGGATTTTCTCTCTCCCTTCCTCAGCTCACATGGACTATGCTCTCTCTCTCTCTAAAATAATTAAATCTTTAAAAAAATTTTTTTAATTCTTAAAAAAAAGATTATTTTTACATTTAAATATGTAGGTTTCTAAAAAATTTGTATTTAATGTTTTGAGTTACTAGTGTTTTGTCTGAGTTACTAAATAAAAATTTTCTCTTGTTTTTGTTAGTTGTATTTCCTCTTATGAGATCCCTTTCACCTATTTACCTTTTGAAATCTTTGTGTTTCTTAGCAATTTATATGTCTCCCTAAGATGCAGTTTATAAAAAAAATTATATAAAATACTTTATGAAATAGAAAAATAGTTTTTAAGTCTTGGTCCTATTTACTGAGAAAATTTTCCACAGTTTGTTACTTTTTAACGTTGCTCTCTCTTCCTATTAATTTTCAGAAATGTAAACTTTCTTATATTGAAATCTACTTTCCCTCTAATTTCTTACATACCCAATAAAATCTGGCCATCTCCACCATCCATCTAGAAATGCGATAAAGATTCATTTATATAGTCATCCAGCTTTAATGGTTTGAGGTTTCTTAAAAAAAAAAAAGGGGGGGGTGCTTGAGTGGCTTAGTTGGTTAAGCGTCTGCCTGTGGCTCAAGGTCCTAGGATGGAGCCCTGCAGCAGGCTCTCTGCACAGCGGCAAGTCTTTTCCCTCTGGCTCCCTTCACCGCTGCTCATGGTCACTTGCTCACTCTTTCTTTCTCATTAAATAAATAAAATCTTAAAAAAAAAAAAAGGGTATGTTTTAAAACTGTTATGTCCTTTTATTTCAAAAGTTCTTTCAATAAAACATTCTTTTATTTCAAAAGTGAGGCAAAAAAGTTAAGGAAAAGAATGAAAAATATATAGAACAACATAGTTTGAAGATCAAAGTCCTTGTTCCTTCAAGTTCTATCCAAGAGTTAACCACTGTTTGGGGTACATATTTTCTTCTATGCACATACAAAAATATACAGAAAAAAGTACCTACACCTTTCCTGACTTTTCCTCTCTTCCCTCATGACATTTTTAGCTCCTCCCTCATAATGCTGGATTATATTAGTAGTGATCCTGAATGTCCAAGAAGGGATCTATAGTACATTCACCCAAGATTCTCAGACTTTTTTATTCTTTATTCAATTAATGACAACTCAAAGAATTGGTAATTTTTGAATACTATTTTTAAAGTACTGGCTTGGCTTTATTTTATTCATTTCAGACAATGCAAAACTGGAATGTTATTATGAGTACAAAGAAGCAAACCAATTACTAAAAGAATGAAAGACAACAAACTTACTTGGGATACACTGGTTCATAGAGGTACTTGTCCCCTCTTGTAGATGTAATATGAAAAAACAAGATGTAGCCATATGCAGTCTGAAAGATAAATTTTATTTGCCATGAATTAAGGGTAAGGCTATGACTAAAAACCTTAAATTTTATTTTTATATATTCTCACTTGAAAACACTTCTCTCGTGGGAACCCTCTTTTGAACAGCTATAGTCTATTCCATTTAAAAATGGCTTTAATATAATCCATCTTGTTTAATATAACCCATGAAAAAGAGCTTTTATATTTTAATACTTCATAATGCCATTGAAATCAATAGTTTATAACAGATTGTAGACTTTAATACTCTAAAATACTTATAGTATTCAATAGCAGACGATTATTTTATGAAATATACATAGCTTTTTGAACTCTGCAATATGGCAAATATTTTTTCCTAATATTTTAAAACAACAATGTCACCAAACAGTAGTATTATGATAAAGTTCAAAGTTTACACAATAAAACTTCAGAATAACATATATATATATTTCAAAATCAATCAATTGGCCTATTTACTATAAAATATACTGAGACACAGAAGATAAACAGAACCTTCATTTCCAAATTTGAATACCAGTTAATTTTTCTAAGTTGACAAAATACTTTTAAAATATAAATTGTACTGCAACATTACATAATCATGGCACAAATCTGTCAATTGTGAGGTTCAACCACTTTACATTTGTAGAAATACACATAATACTATTTTTAGCTGTTTCTAACCATTTTCAAGCCTGAGGGAAGTGGCAACTGTTTGGCCCAAACTACTAAATATTAATACTAAACTCTTATTTTAGAAGCAGGTAAGCTTTATCCAAAGTACAAAGAAAACAGAAAAAAATTATTCAACGTTTCATATTTCTTTCTAGTAGTTGCTTCTGTTCTTCACTTAAAAGAATGCCAGAGGAAAAACAATTTCTTCAGCAATCAGGTGTTTTGTTTAAGCTATAAACTTTACTATTTCATAATGTATTCCAAAATTCTAGTTTAATATATTGGGACACAAAACAAAAGAGGCTGAGATCATCATTCTAATTCCTCAGGTGCAATTTTACCTTCTTCAAATGTGGAGAATCTGGGACCAAAGGAAAACAGATTCAAATGAAACCATAACAGATATCATAACCTCTACACAAAGTAGTGACTTTGAAATTTGTAAACTGTACTATTACTTTATATGGCTAGAAAAGTAAAATAATATGGTCCAGGATTTACATAAATAACATACAAATGCTGTCTGGGAAATCAGTCACTCAAGGTCAAAAGTTCAACATTTTAGAATATCAAATGCTAATAATATACTCATAATTTTAACAAGTGCTTAGAAGATTATAATGCCAGGGAAAATAAAACATCATTTTACAGCAGTATTTAGAAATTTTATGCACAGGGTGTACTAGAAAAAAATTACAAATAATGGCTTGATTTACTATTCCAGCATTTTGTATCAATCTTTACTAGGATCTATAGCTTCACATGTATATAAATGCTATATACTTCCAGATCTCACTGACCTTTTCCTAAACAATCCTGTCCTCAAACAAGTCTGTGAACAATTTTAAAAGTTTTGGTAATAGATGATCATCCTTAAAAAGTAGCATCTTTGTTGTTAACTATACCAAAACTGTTATTATGTAGTGTTACGATGGCTTTTCTCTTCCCACCACCAAAATACTGCGAATACACATACAAAGACTGCTTCTTCTAATATGCATACCCATTGTCTGCCTCTTGCGCTCTCTCTTTCTCTTTCTCCCCCAAACACACACACACACACCCCTAATCTTAAGAAAATGAAAAGATAAAGAACCTCGGAGTCCTCTTTCCCAGTATCATCCAATATCTCAATTTTTTTTTCTTCCTCCAGGACTTATTTTACTAGATTCTGTGGTTGTAATTACAAAGGCCTAGAAATTTTTCTAGGCAACTTGAATGACAAGTCCTTATGTCTCTTTCTTTTGTATATCAATAAATAAGGGTCACAGACACACAAGGATAAAGGTTATCAAGAGGATAAGAGAAATCACAACTTCAATAGAGAATGGCACAGACTTGTCTCTACTAATGCCACTTAGCAAAAAAAGAACTTTCTAGAAACAATTTAAAGGGATATTAATAACGCATTAACGATTCAGAGAGGGATGAATATTCAGAGAAGCTTTTTTTTTTTCAACTGCAAATTGCAAACAGATTTGAAAAACCATGCAAACTACCTCGGATAATTCCACAGTTTATTTTTTTATTGTTATGTTAGTCACCATAAAATATACACTAGTTTTTTGGTTTTTTTTTTTTGTTTTTTAAAAGATTTTATTTATTTATTTGACAGACAGATCACAAGTAAGCAGAGAGGCAGGCAGAGAGAGGGGGGAAGCAGACTCCCTCCTGAGCAGAGAGCCCCATGCAGGGCTCGATCCCAGTACCCTGAGATCATGACCTGAGCCGAAGGCAGAGGCTTTAACCCACTGAGCCACCCAGGCACCCCTGTTGTTTTTTTAAGATTTATTTGATAGATAGCGAGAGCAGGAACACAGCAGGGGATAGGGAGAGCGAAGAGCAGGTTTCCCGCGGAGTAGGGAGCCCGATGTGGGATGTGGGGCTGGAACCCAGAACCCTGGGATCTGACCTCAGCCAAAGGCAGATACTTAACGACTGAGCCACCCAGGTGTTCACATCATTCGTTTTTGATGCAGTGTTCCAGGATTCATTGTTTATGTATAACACCAGTGTTCCATGAAATATGTGCCCTCCTTAATAGCCACCACCAAGCTCACCCCGCCTCTGAAAACCCTCAGTTTGTTTCTCAGACTCCATAGTCTCTCAGTTTTGTCTCCCCGCCTCCCCAATTTCCGCCAATTCACTTTTCCTTTCCTCCTCCTAATGTCCTCCATGTTATTCCTTATGTTCCGTAAGTATGTTAAACCATATGATAACTGACTTTCTCTGCTTGACATATTTCACTCAGCATAATCTCCTCTAGATCCATGTTGATTCAAAAGTTGGGCATTCATCCTTTCTTATGGCTGAGTAATATTCCATTGTATATATGGACCACATCTGCTTTATCCATTTGTCTATTGAAGGGCATTTTGGCTTTCTCCACAATTTAGCTATTGTGGACATTGCTGCTATGAACACTGGGATACATATGGCCCTTCTTTTCACTACATCTGTATCTTTGGGGTAAATACCCAGTAGTGCAATTGCTGGGTCATAAGATAGCTCTATTTTAATTTTTTGAGGAATCTCCACACTCTTTTCCAAAGTTGCTGCACCAACTTGCATTCCCACCAACAGTGTAAGAGGGTTCCCATTTTGCACATTCTCTCCAAAATCTGTTGTCTCCTGCCTTGTTAATCTTTGCCATTCTAAATGGTAAAAGATGGTATCTCAATGTGGAGGAGAACATAGGCAATAAACCTCTTCAACATCAGCCACAGCAACTTCTTGCAAAATACGTCTCCAAAGGCAAAGGAAACAAAAGCGAAAATGACCTTTTGGGACTTCATCAAGATAAAAAGCTTCTACACAGCAAAAGAAACAGTACAAAATAAAGAGACAACCCACAGAATGGGAGAAGATATTCGCAAATAACACTACAGACAAAGGGCTGATATCCAAGATCCATAAAGAACGTCTCAAACTCAACATCCAAAAAACAGATAATCATGTCAAAAAATGGGCAGAAGTTATGAACAGACACTTCTCCAATGAAGACATACAAATGGCTAGCAGACACATGAAAAAATGTTCATCATCATTAGCCATCAGGGAAATTCAACTAATTCCACAGTTTAAAGAGAAGAGTTTGAAATCTGGAGGTGAAATGATATTATTTATCATTGTCATCATCATCATCACTATTATTATTAACATATAATGTATTATTTGTTTCAGGGGTACACAGGTATGTGATTCATCAGTCTTACACAATTCACAGCACTCACCATAGCACATACCTTCCCCAATGTCCATCACCCAGCCACCCCACCCCTCCCACCCCCCTCTACTTCAGCAATCCTCAGGCTTGTTTCCTGAGATTAAGAATTTGTTATGGTTTGTCTCCCTCTCTGGTTTCTTCTTCATTTTTTCCCCTCTTCCCCTATGACCCTCTGCCTTGTTTCTCAAATTCCACATATCAGTGAGATCATATGACAACTGTCTTTCTCTGACTTATTTCGCTTAGCATCATACCCTCTAGTTCCCTCCATGTCGTTGCAAATGGCAAGATTTCTTTTTTGATGGCTGCATAATATTCCACGGCATATATGTACCACATCTTCTTTATCCATTCATCTGGTGATATCTAGGCTCTTTCCATAGTTTGGCTATTGTGCACACTGCTGCTATAAACATTTGGGTGCACGTGCCCCTTTGGATCACTACATTTGTGTCTTTGGGGTAAATACCTAGTCGTGCAATTACTGGGGCATTAGGGTAGCTCTATTTTCAACTTTTTGAGGAACCTCCATGCTGTTTTCCAGAGTGGCTGCACCAGCTTGCATTCCCACCAACAGTGTAGGAGGGTTCCCCATTCTCCGCATCCTCACCAACATCTGTCATTTCCTGACTTGCCAATTTTAGCCATTCTGACTGGTGTGAAGTGGTATCTCATTATGGTTTTGACTTCTATTTCCCCGGATGGCATTATTATTATTAACTGCTTGTTTATATTTTGCTTTGTTGGACGTTTGGGAAGTTTCTCCTTGCTACTCAAAATTAAATGTATTTTAAAAATTATTTTATGATTGATGCATGACATACATAATATAAAAGCAATTTTCTGTAAACAAGAAGAATTTAAATCCAGCTGTGTCCTGATGCAAATCAACTACTACATAAAACTAATGCTTCACCTGTAGGAAGCAATCCCAGTACCTTCCTCTACCATTTTCCAATCAAGGATCCCACTGGACATGAATTCACCACATACTTCAGATTTCAAGTCATTGTGCATTTCTTCCTTAGGACATGGTACTTTTATCATGAAGAAGAGGAGATTCATGCATCTGGGCTCAACGACCTGAGTGATGCATCACAAAGA